GTGAGCAGTTAAATCAATGTATCATAGATGAAATCTTAATTAAAATGATATTTAGTTATGGGAAGTGAGAGTTTCATAATTTATTTTCTATTAAGATGTTGACTGTTTCACTGAAAGCAATTATTTTGTGGGTTTAATCACAATATAAAAGCTTCACTGAAGTTATATTTCTGCATCTTTCTGTTCTCCTCCTTGGATATCCACCATCCTCAAATTTAAAGGCCCATTCTAAAAGGCCAGTGCCAAAGTGTTTGCATTAATTTTCTTTCTTCTTGAGATGTTTTTTACATCTATTGTGACAGTAGACTACTATGCTGTTTAATATTGTTTTCTTGAATTTTATCAGAGTAAACATTCACATAGGATTAAGCATAATTATGCATATTTAAAACCACTTTTTCTGAATTGCCCTAAGAAGAATGGAACTGTTTTCGTTTGGGCTGCAGGTTTTAAATACCATGCATGTGACTCTGCATTTATGTTTGTGCTTACTCCAATGCATAAATGACATGTGCATACTTTTTGAAGATGTTCTTGCCCATGGGAGGGGAAATGGACTAGATGACATTTAGTGGTCCCTTCCAACCCAAACTATTCTATGATTCTATAAATCTAGGGGGTGAGGTAAATTGCTTTGTGAATGTACAGTTAAGGTCTATATTTGCAATTTCACCAAAATATTGTTATGTAAATCTACCCTTTTGAAGATGTGGCTGAAATGGTCCTTGAGTTCTTGCTGTTCTATATGCTTTTTTTGGTGGAGGACAGAACACTATAATAATTTCTTCTTCCCTCTCTCTCCACACACTGGATAACTTTGCCCTCAGCAAGGTAAGGGCTCCCTAAAGAACTACGTGAGAGCCATCAAATTCCCTCAAGCACAGTGAATGAAGATGGACCATCCAGTAAGGCCAGGTTTTCAAAGCTCTTACGTGCTCAAAATGGTAGGCAGGCACACAAATCCTACATCAAGTCTCATATATCCCTGTCAAGGAAGTAGTTATATTCGAGAGAAATAGAGTAAATGTAGGATGTCAGCTACAGAAAATTACATACGAGTGGTTTTAGGTTCCTCAGTGATCTTGAACAATTAAATTTTGAAGAATCAAAATGCTCTTTGATACTAAGTGTGGAGGCTCCCAGGTGAAAAATACAGTGATATTAGCTATTTATATATTAATGTGGGGGATTTTTTCCTCTTCCTTCTATCTGGACTTCAGCTTTAAGTATGAAAATTTTTTCGCATATCCTTTTAGATGAATTACAAATTGCAGGTACCTTGAGGTTGAAGGGGTGGCTTCCAGACTGGAAATCAAGAACTTGTGCTAAACGCCTTTGCTTCTTTTACAGTGCCTGAGGGTTAGGTGTATTTCTATGGAATCCAAGTCAATAATTACACTTTTAAGAAGTTAGGGAACAGGTGATACACCCTGGTGGGGTTTTAGAGGTCTTTTACATGGAATTAATCCTGTTGTCTTGCACTCCTCAAACCTGGAGGTTAGAAAGATTTCTGATGATCTTGGGCAGAATTTAGATGCTGAGCTGCTCAAACTAGGGCTCTTTTGGTGTTTGTATGGGTGTGGCTCTACAGTTCTAAAGAAACTTTTTAAGTGTATATATGTTTTCTCTGTATCTTCCACTATGAGGTAGCAGCAGAGCTGAAAGTTAAGATGTGATTTTACATCTAAATACTTAAAATCTTTACCAAATTCAAGCTTTGGATTATTTTTTTTTCCATTTTTCAGCATGCCATCACTTCCTATTTTATAACTGATATTCTACATTGTGATGAATTAATCAATATTCACTACTTTTTTCTATAGACTTAACCAAACTGAAACTTTTATCTGTAAATTTCTTCTATTTCTTCTCTTTGAAACCATTACTTCAGTAAGGAATCAGTTAAATGAGATAAGCTCAAGAGCAGATTCATAAGAACTCAAGATTCATGTTTTTAACATGGAAAGTTAATTACTCTGACAGTAGTCTCAAGCAGTTTTTGAAAGATGGCATTACTTTCCTATTCACCCCAGAACTATGCAGCTCTTTTAACAAATAACTGATAGACTTAAAATGGTTTTGAAAGACAGTGAATTATGAAGCCCTGTTCTTCTATTCATATACTCATTAAACACGAATGAAGAAGAAACAGTGGTTTTCCTTAGGAGAAACCAAAGTTAGTAATTATAGTGATTTGAATTCTACAGTTTTGCTTAACCTTGGTCACTTTGCTGTTTCTGAAGTGATGTCTAGCAGGTTCGAAATGATACTATTGACTCCTTTCTTCACCTCTAGCCTTTTTTTTTTTTCTTTTTTAAAACAGCCTTATTACTCTCAGCAGCAGAAGGTGTTTTTAACTGAGAATTTATATACTGTTTTTAGGTTAGCTGTACCAATACTGTACTCAGCAAGCAGCTGAGAAATATCAGCAGGCCTTAATAACTAACTTGCTGTCCTTCAGTGTGTTACCATGTATGAGCATCTCCTTCTTCTAGACACCCAACTAGGTAATTTTCCCAGCTTTTCTTTGATATTCTTTTCCATTTTGCAGTTTTTATTTATTACTTCTTTTATTTTTCTTAGGAATACAGACAATCTGAGTTGATTGAGTTGACTTCTTTTCCCTCAAGTTTTCTTCTGGTAGTTAAAGATTTTTTATTATTTTTTGTTCCCTGTTTGCTTTTCAAAACTTCTATACCTATTTTCCATCTAGTATTTTACTTACTCAAGGAATAATTTCTTCTAATTTTGAAAGGGATGGATTTCTATTCTTTACATTAAAGTACAAGGAAAATTCAGATTTGGGACTATCTGAAAATGGCTTGTCCTGATGTCATCCTTAGTCTTGTATCATTTGAGAAATCTCATTGGTGCTGTTTTCATTTTAATTTTATTTTAATAGTATTTTTATGTGTCTTAGCATTCTAAACCCAGAAATCAAATGAAAACTTTCATTTTCTCACTATTCATGCTATGTATTGTTTTAGCCATAATCTCCCATCTCTTTCACTGGTAGCAAGCTGCTGTATCTACACAGGAGTGACATTAAGTTTCTAAATAGATGCTCCAAACTCCTCATGTAGAAAGAAGATGCCTTGGAATCCTGTAAGTACACTTAAACTTCTTATGTCAAATTTTCTCAGTAGTCACTTTAATTGCATAATATCTTTTAGTGACAGGATGAAATTTTATAGACTGGTAGAGTTTTAATGATTCCATAAACATCAGATGCAAAGACATAGAAACATTCATTGCATATTTTGCAAAATGCGGTCAATTTGACAGATCAGTCCATAATAAACCTTAGAGTCATGGCTACTTTCAGGGCAGAAGGACTTCCCAGAGAGAAAGGGACTTGAGGACAGGCTGTGCTTATGGTCTTGCTGAGGGGGACAGTAATCCTGCTCCTTGGAGCTAGTGCCACCACCTGCAGCAGAGGAGCTGCTTTTGCACTTACTCTGTAATAAATGCATATGCTTTCCTCTGAGCTCATGCCTCTGCCATCATGCTAGGATGCTGCCTGCTGTGTTAATCCACCAGTAAAGAGACCTCAGGTCATACAATAATATGTGCCTTTACTGTCTGCCAATACCCACAGGACTGGCTATTAATTTTCAAGTCGTTGAATTTTCACTTAATGTACTGCAGCTCTCTGAAGCGTGGTGAGTTTCTTTAACCATTAAGGCAGCTGTAAGCTGTACATATAAAATAATAACCAGATGATGATGTGTAAAGACAAAACACTGCCTTTCATCGGCATAACTACCGGATGGGGGGTTATTTACATTTCTGTGCAGTGACAACTTGACTCGAAGGAGTATGATGATGATGATGGCTATAAAACGGTTTGCGCCTTGCGCTGAGAACATGTTGTGCAGATTACTCCAGAAGCGCCCTATAGAGAGCTCTGAGCAGGGGCATCTCAGGGGCCGGGAATTAGGGCTGGGGAGAGATTCAGGGACCATCCGACCCTGAAGACGAGAGAAGACATAACGCGCTATCTAAGCTGTGGTGCCGTCGGGACGTGACCGCCCGTCCCCACGGCCGAGGCAGAGGCTGCGAGCGTGGAACCTCCTGTCGCCTCCGCCACCGCGGTGCTTTCCCTGCGGTGTTCGGTAGAGTGGTAGCTGACGGGGTGTGTTTGGCTACTTTGCCGCGTACGTCTCCTGAGAGAGGCAGAAAGAGGGAGCAACCGAGGATGAGGAAGGAGGAAAACAGAAGGGAAAAAACCCCCAAAACCACGCGTTTTGCACGCTCTAGCGCATGTCACAGCTCAGCACCGCGCATCGCCCACCCCGCGGCTCGTCCCCGCCGGGCGCTCCGCGGCCACGCAGAGCCGTCTGCAGCCGCCGAGCCTGCGCCCATCGCGCCGTGGGAGCGCGCAATTCCCGCGGCTGCCCTTGCGCGCCCATCACGCCGCCTGCCTTCAGCATGGCTATAGGCACTCCGCGGCTGGAGGGTGTGCCCCTTCTCCCGGGGACGAACGAGAGGCTGGCGGATGTTCCCTTCCCCATGGCTGGGACCGCCCTCCCCAAAATCGCGGTCGTGCCGGACGCGGGGCCGTGCAGTCTCCGCGGGTGTCCGTGCACATCCCCCGGTGTTTCTGCTCCCCGCTGCGGGTCTCCGCTTGGCAGGGCCGAGGGTGACTCTCAGAGCCGCTCTCGGAGTACTTTAAAAATAGAAAAAATTTTAAATATATATATATATATATTATATAGCTTTAAACATATATTTATCATTCTATATATTCTGCATATTTATATATGCATATATACATATATGCATATATATATATATATGTATATATGGTCTATTTCATTTCCCTCTTCGGAGAAAATACCAAATCAATGCCACCCTTTCTCCCAAGCATGTTTCCCTTCTAGTAAAGGAGGCTCCACCTCTGCTAGGGATTGATTCGCCCAGCAGTTTTTAGGATAATTTATGGAGCAACCTGATGAGCCTATTGGGCGAGTTGCTCGGTCCTTGGAGAGTGGGTTTCTACCTGTTTGGGTGTTTCACCCTTCCCGTCCCCTCCCTCTGCCTGCCGTGTGCCGGGGGGTGGTGGGATTAGCAGGGTCGCTGTTCCTCAGCCTCTCCGGAGAAAACCCGGGGAAGGGAGAGCTCCTTCACGCTCATGGATGCATGGGGGGGCCCCACGCCCCGCTGGAGCCGTCGCCGCGGGGCCCGATTGCTGCTGCTGCTGCTGACCGTGCGGCTGGGGAGCGGTGTGAGTATGCGGAAGCCCCCGCGCCTGCTCCCGCCGGTGCTCGCGCTACCGGCGCTTCGCCCCCGCGCTGAGCTCGGGGGACTCGGGCGGGCTGGCGTCGGGCAAGGGCAGGGGAGGCGGCGTGTGCTGCGCCGCCAAACTTCAACGCAAAAAGGTGCCGATGCTGCCGCTGTGGCTCCCACGGGCGGCTGCGGGGGGAGCCGGCACCGGCAAAGTAAAAGTTCAGCCGCATCTCACTTGTTCGCTGGGCTGGCTGGTGAGTCCAGGCTCGGCTCTGTGCTGGAAAAGGCGCGTCCCCGCCATGCCGGGGGGGCGGCGGGGCCGTGCCGTGCCGTGCCGGGGGCGGCCCGGGGCAGCGGGCGGGGGGAGCCCCCCGCCTGGAGCGCAGCGAGCTCCGTGCAGCGGTGCCATCCCGTGCCCGCCGGGGATGCGGGGACATGGGGCGGGAGCGCGCCCCGCGAGGGACCGCGGCGCTGCCCGCGCCTTCCGCGGGGGGTGCGGGGACACTGCTCCCGGCGAGGGCACCTTCTCGGTGTGCTGGCCGCGCAGCGGACATCCCGCACGGCACCGCCTCCTGCCTCTGCACCTCTCGGGGGTGCGATCGGGCTCACGCGTGGGATGGGGCAAGGGCAGCTGCTCAAGTCCCAGAACTTGGAAACGTACATTTTAAGGGAGTTAGAATATTGAGCTGAAGGGCTCTGAAGAAACAACAGTTTGGTACAGCTATGTACATGTCTTATTAGTACCCATAACAAGTTAACGAAAAGGAATCTGATCATTCAACTCCATTAATCATTCAGAACTAATGGGAACCATTCCACAGGTTACACTCTCATAAAAATCACAAAGCAGCACTGAAAGGGTATTTGACTGTTGGCCAGTGTTTTTTTCTTTTTAACGATAGACCAAATTATCATTCTAAGAGGATATAGAAATGTGTAGTGTAAAGGCTGGAGGGAAAAAAAAAGAAAAAAAAGGGAAAAATATCCATTAAACATTTTTTAAAGTCTATCAGACTCTAGACCACTTCTCCACACTGAATGATGATTTATCAGTCTGTATGTTGATCTCATGACATCTCTCATCCTCAGAAGGCTGTTGTGTTATCCTAGTTAAAACCACCACTTATTGTGCTTTATTTATCTGTATCTTAAAATCTTGGTATATTATGGAAATATTTTTCAAAGGCACTGATGAAAATTATACCAGTGCAGCTGTGCATCTTCAAGATGTTTCTTAATGATCGTAGTGTACCTCAGGTATGAAAGAAATTATCAAGTGGTTTCAGAGAAAAGAATATGCATGCTAATTTATCAGTTCAATGACTTAGTTACAAAGGAGGAGGACTAGCTAAAAAAAATTATTTTTCTTTGTTTGTCAAAGTGTGGTTTGGATTACAGGACTAGGTTATGTCTGTATGCATCTCATTAACATTAGTATTTATACATAAGTTGATAAGAAGTCTTCAGTGAGAAAAAGAGGTAACATTAGTATTTATAAATAAGTTGATAAGAACTCTTCAGTGAGGAAAAGATAACTTACATGCATTATTTTATTCTGTATTACAGGACATCTCAAATAAAATTGAACCTTTGGTATAAATATCCATGTATTTTAATCAACTATTTTCAGCCTTGCTTTTCATTCAGAGACTACATGGAAAAATGGTGTTTGAAAGATTTATCTTCCCCCCCTCTTTTTTTGTTTTAAGTGACAACAAATGGATATGTTTTGCAGATCATTATTCTCTGGCGTGTAATGCGTGTCAACTCAGGATGTTTGCAGAGACCTCTGGTGCCCTTTAACAGTCTGCCACAAAGTAGGATGGAAATACTATTTTTCTGCTTCTTTGAATGCCTCTCTGTAGTTTCAGCCCAAGACTTTCCTTGAAGTTCAAACTAAAACTATTACAGTAGTAATGCTTTTCTCAAGAATAGACCAGGTTGCACCAGTTCTGACTGTTTTTCTAAAAACATCTTGCAGGAGCCAGCCCACCTTTTCAACACATACTTTTAAAAGATTGCAAATTGCAGTGATTTTAGTACGCGTTTATACACAAAGTTCTTTGTGCTGAGTGTGAGTAAAGTTATTTCAGCTGTTATGAATGGAGCTAAAGCCTAAGCAAGGACACTGGAACTTGAGCTCAACCAAGAGTTTATGATTTTACGGTGCTGCCCCAAAAGCTATAGTGTGACATTACACCAAATTTCCCTCACCAAAGGGAACTCTGTAAAACAATTGCTTATGCCCAGTTCTTCACCTGTAGCACAAACAGACCAGAAAGGCCAATGCACTTGCTGTAACTTCATGAGTTATTATTTTGAAGGACTACTTTTGTCAATAGTAGACATCTCTTCTGTAGCAGAAATTGGTCTGTGAGCCTTTCTATAAGGGAAAGAGTAGTTACCCAGCAGTCACTGCAGTTCTAAATGTTCGACAAAACCATTATTCTTGTTGAACTCAAATAAACAGATAATTCATAGGCAGAGCATAAGAGCTGACAGTATAATTATTTCTTTAGTTCCAACCATACAGGTGCAGCATAACAGTAACATTTCTTCTAATTTATACTGTTTTAAATAGTATGTGCTGGTCAGCATGCCTAACAGTATATTGTAACCTTAACTTTATTTTGGCCATATCTTCCCTTTAGTTTTGTGATCTGATGTTCTAAAAGAAATTACAAATGCTCTGCTGAAACGCAACTGTCAGCACTGTCAGAAGTTACAAATGTCAACTAATATTTTCTTTTCTATTTCAAAGTATCTATTAGGAAAATATACAATACAGCCTACATTTTCTTCTCACATAAATTCCTGGATCAGAGTTAAACTTGTCATAACAACATTGGTTTCTTAGTGCTTGATAATAGTGATTTACCATTTCATTTGAATGTCTGTGATGTTTATTCATTATTATCCTCACTTTTATGTGCTTTGCTCATGATGTGACAGTGAAGAACTTGTTATTAAGCAGCCCCAGTGGTTTAAAATATAGTTTATTTTATTAAAAGTTTGTTAATAATTTCTTTTGTTAGTATAAAGTTTAAAGAGACATAAATATTGAGAAATATTGAGAAATTCTTTGCACATAATCTTCTTTCAAGGTTTCAAGGAAACCTTCCAACTATGTCATTCCATTAAAAAAAAAAAAGCTGTTAGCAAACTGAGCCACATTTTCAATTACTTTTAACTTTCTTTTTGTTAAATATGCCTAATGCTACAAAGAACACCTTTGCTACCTATTCAAGCCTTTCTGAGCTGGACAGAAAAGGCTACAGGTGAGCACTTGTTGACCTTGTTCAACTTTTTTTTCTGAATATGTAAGTCTGTCTACAGAGTTGATTACAAGGGAATTGGGGTAATATGTGTTTTTTCTTTGAAGCTGCAGAGGAATTGCAATAGTCTTGGTCAAATAGAACACCTAGTTTCTATGACCAGTAAGTGAGACCACTTATACGGACTAGGCATATTCATTGATTGAAAGTGACTTGCTTTGGTTTAGGCTATCATATATATAAACTAAAAATGTCATGTATGTCGTACTCACAGAAAACCAAAGGTAAGCATCTCAAGGCCCATTGTTGTTGTACCATTTATGAGAGAAGAGTACTAGCACATTTTTAATTACCTGCATAACCCTTTCTTGCATGGCATACTAAATTGATCGTGTACTTGAGCAAAATAATGCTATTGCTTATTTGGTAAAGAGGATCAGAGACAACTGCTAATTATAAATGACTGTAATAAACTGTCAGGAACCTTTCAAAGGATTGTGGATGACAATGACACTAACTTTTATTTCTTAACATTTTCTCTGAATGGTAATAATTTGTACAGAGTAATTTAGATGCAATTGAATTAATCTGGAGATGACACATGAGTCCTGATTTTGCATTTTCACACATGCAAACATTTTTAATAAGACTAAAAATAGTGTGGTGAGTTCAATGGCCTACAGGCCTATGTAAAAACTTGATTCTATATATCTAAGATTAAAACGGTAAATCATTCACCAACACTGAACTAATAGAGGTAACTAGAGAGACTAGAAAGATCATCAGTGGTTCATCAGTACAGAACTTATTTCAAAGAAGAGGGAAATCTCAGTGATATGGCAAAGATGGAAATAGTTTCTAAAATATACTTTAATTGGTAGATGTTCCAGTCAATAGGATCTGTTAAGACAATCCAGTCTTATATGAGAATAAACAAAACTGGAGAATTTACCCTGGCTTCTGTATCAGGTTTGCTCCTTCAGTATAACTGTTCTAAGCCCCTGCATAAAGACAGCATGAGGAGGAATCCAGTGAAGTATTGTACAGTATTTCTAGACTGAGGTTTCTCTGGCTTCCAGCCAGTGGATCTCTTGCTTTCTTCTGCTCGCAAAAAAAGCTTGAGCTTTTTTCCCAGTGCCACCTGCTACAGTTGGCTCAGCCGCTGGATCCCTTGTCCATCTCTTTGTGGGGAAATCCAGGTCTCAGTTGACACTTCTGGTTCTACAGGGTAGCATCAGGGTGCAGACCAACGGCTGCAGCTGCTCTTCATGAGCATAATCTGCATCCATCTGCTCTTCAACAGGGAAACCAGTCATGAAAGCTCATCCTGCATGCCTCTGTCTAGTTTTGCCTTGACAAGAACTCAGAGCAGTGCAAGTGAATCCTGAAAATTCTTAAAGGAATTAGCATTTTGGTCAGAAAACATCCTGGTGCCTTTCTTTTTCCAGCCTAGTCTTTGATAATGTGTTGTAGAAACCTCCTCACCTCTTGGAGATGGGAAGCTGCAGTGCAGTTAAATGCCTAGCAGTTGTTGCAGGATGAATGATCTAATCCAAAATGAAAGTTCTACACAAATATGTCACAACTGGAGACACTCTATGCAGAATGGAAATTTCCACTGAATTGGATTTACCCATACTACAGTCAAATTAACTACTGTTCTTCGAACAACTATTTGAAGTTTATACCTGGTATATGCAGTTCAAGAGGCAACTTGATGG